GTGACATCGTGTCAGAACAGCTGGATTGTTCTGGATTATGGCTGTGAGGTGTACAGGGTATATAGAGTCTGGGAAAAGACATGACTGTAATTGTGTCAGCGGGAAGGAACAAAGGACCCTGGGTAAATGTCTCGATGTGTGTGCAGCTTGCTTGCAAATGAGGTGTTTAAACACAGGTACATACTTGATTTGTTTGGTAACATTTCTGATCTATTTTAAATACAGGAAAATTATTCCTCTCCATTTTGCTGCTTTCATAGTTAGGACAACAACTGTAGAATGATGATCTGAATTCAGGTACCTAAAGAGAAGAAATCGTTGAATATACTGATAATACTCAGAAAAATCTCTCTCGCTCCTATCTACCCATCTATATTTTTGGCTTTTGTCTGTGTTTCTAAAGATCTTTCTTCTTGCTTTCCAGAAATTCTGGAATGGTACAGAGCTGGTCATCTTCCTTTAGAAGCAGCAACTCAATTCATCCTATTTGCATCCTATGAATAATAGCAGACTTCAGGGGCTCTCCTAATTTATTGAAAGGCATGATTATGAAGAGAAATCAGCAGGGAAGGAAAGAAAAAGAACAGTCATTAGATAATGGCATTTTCCAGACACCAGGCTGGGTAATTTCATACGTCCTTCTATCATCGCAATAACCCTGTAAGGTAAACGTTATAAGTTTTATGAAGAAGAACCTAGTTTATGAAGGTTCCTTGACTTGATTGACATGTCTAAGGCCACACCTGCTAACTGGATGAGTTGGAAAGTAAACCCAAGCCTGTCTGACATTGAAGTGCATCGCCTTTCTATGAATGGCCACAGGTGCCCATTTACAAAGTCCCCTTACAGGGAGCTAGTTGTGAAGCGTGTGTCCCACTGAGGCTGGTGCTAGCATGAGCCTGTGAGCTCTTGGCTTTGGATGAGCAGGTATCCTGAAAGCCCTGCCTGCCAGCTCTGCAGTTTGACTCTTTTCTTAGCATGATTCTTGCAACGTTACAGAAGAACCTCAGTCTCCTAAGTCTGGAAAAATACAATTCTCAAATTTCATACAAACAGCTTTCTGTAACAGTTTTATATAACTTTTCAAAATTAAAGTTTGAATTTTTTAATTTTATTTTTCGGAAAAGTGGCCGAGAGTACAGAGAGCTCCCCTGCTCACCTCACGCAGTTTTCCTCGTGTTACTATATCACACAACCTGGTACATTTGTTAGAACGAAGAAACTTGTATTGATATTATTGACTGTGAATAGCCTACAGACCTTAATCAAATTTTGCCCGTTTTCCCACACAGGATGTTTCTTTTCTTTTTCTTTCCCCGGATCCAGTCCAGGATTTCATGTGGCATTTAGTTGTCAGGTATTCTTAGTCTACTCTCATCTGTGATATTTCTCAGTCTTTCCTTGTTTTTCATGACCTTGACAGCTTTGAAGATTACTCTTTCTGGCATTTTATAAAATACCTCCCAATCTGGGTGTGTCTGATACTTTTCTCACAATTAGGCTGGAACTATGGGCCTTTGGGGAAGAGTACAACAGAGGGGAAGCGCCCTTGTCATCGTGTCACCTTGAGGACAGGATCTCTTCATGACTCATCACTGGTCACCTTACCCTTGATGGCTTGGTTAAGGTGCTGTCTGCCAGGTTCCCCACTGTCCTAGCTCCCTTTGCTGACTCTCTCATTCAGAAGCAAGCGTCTCAGTCCAGCTCCCTCTCAAGAGAATGGGGATTAAGCCCTGCCTCCTAGAGGGTCTCCCAGCTCTTGCTGCTGTGCTTCTTTCAATGCTGCCGCTGCCGCCATGTTCTTCCTCAAAGACGGGGATCCTTGCTGCACGCCGTGAGTGCATTCCTTCTCCTCCCTCCCAACACCTGGATTCTGGGATCCAAGAGATGGGCCGACCCAATGAGCAAGAGCACCCCTCTTCAAAAGGCGGTGGGGGAAAGAAGCTGGAAAGACCTGAGTGTATGTACATTTACAGTTCTCGTTCCTGTTACTCTTGCTTATGTGTAACAATGTGCTTGAGCTGCTCAGTTTCTAAACTTCTGGACTCCTACAGTGCATTAAGAGAAGAATGAATTTGCTTAGGAGACGAGTTGCCTTCATGCGATCTAGTGTCAATATAGGCACAATGCTGGGAAGCATTGGAAAGACTGCCGTGTATACAGCAGTACAAAATGTTTGAGTCCTTGGTACGTGTCAGACATAGATATGGATACAGTTGTACTTAGTCTTGCAGCATGGTGGAGGGATGGCATTTTTATTGTTTTTTATTTTATTTTATTTTTTTTGGCAAAAATGTCAGACCTGAGTCTTTGAAACCAAAGTCCTGTGGCTACTTCTTCCTCCTTTACTTGGGTTAGCTTCTTCCCATCGTCTCCAGCTCTTCGCCTCCAAGCTCATCACTGTCTCCTCTGGAGACACTTAGGGCTGCCCACACTTCTCTCCATTGTATCCCAGTGGTCATGAGGAATCAGGCGTAGGGAATTCTGTGGAAGGTGGCCTGTGCTTGGAGATCCAAGAGGCCAACACATGGGAGAAAGACCTTGTTAGCTCTTAACTCTAGGTCATTGCCAGCAGTAAAATTAATGCACTGTAAAATTAGGTAAAATTAATTAAAATTTTTGTTCTCAAGTCTTCTAATTTCTTCTTTGATTTCAAAATAAAATAAGAAGGTAACATGAAAAACAGAATAGAAACCAGGGTGATTGTTCTCTAAGCAATGCAAAGTACATTATTTTAATAAACTCCAGAATTCAAAACTGAGTTTTCATGTTTTGCATGGAAAGTATCACATTTTTCTAAATTACTGCAGATAATCCAGTTTTCTTTGCCAATATACTGACTGTCTCCCTTGATGGAAAGGAAGTAGAAAATAGCTATAATTTTCCAATAATGTGTGTTTTTTTAAAAAAGACAAACCTGTGCATTAATTGCTAGATCATTTTTTAGGCAAGCATTTTTCTTATTGGAAATAACTAATTATCTCAATTCCCTATGTGGTTTAGCCTTTTTTAACACCAGTAGTAAAGTAGCCTGTCAAGAAACCATCTTTAGATTGATGGCAATTTTTTTTTCTGGCTGGTGGCAGGTTGTGACCTCCTCTGCATCTCCACAGCTGCAGCCAGAGTTTTTAGGCACCTGGCCTTGCAGCTGGGTGGAGATGGTGCCTAGTGGGTGCTAGAAGCAAGGGTGCCCGTTGCCCATGGCTGTGTTCCTGTGCCTGGTACATTGCCTGGCTCGTGATTAGTACTTGTAAATCTTATCTGAGTGAATGGAAATCCAGTCCTACCATCCGTTGTATTATTAGCGAAGCAGCTGAGGTCCAGAGAGGGGCTGACCTATGAAGAGCACCCGGTGGGACCAGACAGATGGTCGGCCTTCTGCCCTAGTGCAGAAGGCTTTCCGCTACCCCTGGGCTGCCTTCCTAAGAGCTGGTCTGGCTTCTTTCTTCTTCCTAATCTAATCTCTTGTTCTCATTTCCTCACAGTTGTTTCTAGCCTGGTTTGAAGCCTGTGCTGGTTTTCTAGTTCCTGTGTAACAACACAGACTTAACAGCTTCAAGCGACATACACTTATTATGGATGAAGAGTTTGGGGCACAGCCTAAGTGGGCTCTCTCTGCAGGGTCTCACAAGCTGCAATTAAGATGCTGTCTGTGTTGTACACCTGAAGCTAATATAATATTGTATGCCACCGCTACTTAAAAAAAAAGAAAAGAAAAAGATGTCTGAGGTTCATCTTTTCTGGAGCTCAGGGTGCTCTTCCAAACTCACTGGTTGTTGGCAGAATTCAGCTCCTTGCGGTTGTAGGACTGAGGTCCATGTCGTCTCACTGGCTCTCAGCTGGGGGCCAGTCTCAGCACCAGAGGTGCCCTGCAGTTTCTCACCATGTGGCTGTCTCACAACATGGTAGCTGGACTCTTCAAGGCCAGTAGTTCAAGTCCCTCTTCCGAGACTGGAACTTACTAAGCCAGGTCCACCTAGGGTTTTTGATTAACTCAAACTTGAATGATATGGGACCTTAATTATGTCTGCAAAAGCCCTTCATCTTTGCCATATAAAAGAACCTAATCACAGATGTGACAACCCATCTTATTCACAAGCCCCACCCCAGCTCAAGGATTACTCAGGGTGTGTACATCAGGGGATGGGAATCATTGGGGCCATCTTGGTCCCCCAAACACATTTGTGTTGGGCTGGTTCTAGGGAAGTTCCAATCTGGACAATAAATGAAGCACTTTCCCTATGTTTCTTGGTAACTGTGCTAGTCTTTTTTAACTTCTTTGAGCTCATCTCCTTCCTCTAAGACTTTGATGTGAGATATATGCTACGTCAAGTGCATGTGGACAATTGATTATAAAGGGCAGGTGACCTCAAAGACCCTGATTGGCAGGAATGGCTCTTCTACATGACCTCCTATATTTTTTATTATTTGGCACTCAAATATAATATGTTTTGGTTCTCTGTTTTCTTCCTCCAAACTTCCCCTACTTCTCTCTTTGGTGATGAAATATATTTGGAATTTCTTGAGTATTCAGCTTTCATGCTTATATGTTCAGAGTTCTTTTTATGAAAATAATTTTTTTTTCATACATATGTGCTCACATCTAGCAGCCTATAGAACTTGGGAATGTTTTGATTTAGCCTTTCTGGTTGGGAGGTCTTACCATATTATGTGCTGGCGTCTAGACTGATGGCCTCTGAGGGGGAGAGTTAGTGTCCATTGGACTGTTTCAGATCTCTGAGTCTAGGCTCTGAGTTCACTCCTGTGGATGCAAATACACAGGGCATCATAACTTCTAAACTTGGTGTTCCTGGTCACAGCTGTTCAGTCTCTACTTGAGGACAAGTTACAGAAGGGCAAGACCAAATCCACCTTTTGTGGGGTGAAAATATACCGTGCGTGTGGCGTCGTTCTCGGGGGGCGGGGTGTGAAGCTCAGCCGGGAGCTGCACACATTCACACACAGGCACCAAGACAGCAGCGAGACACTCTTCCCTGGCCATGCAGACTCCTGGCATCGGACTGCTGATGGCAGTGGCAGTGGTGGAATTTCTCATTGGCCTGGTTGGAAATGGAGTCCTCGTGGTCTGGAGTTTTAGAGAATGGGTCGGAAAATTCAAGGGGTCCTCTTATAACCTCATTGTCTTGGGCCTGGCTGGCTGCCGATTTCTCCTGCAGTGCCTAATTATGGTGGATTTAATCCTGTTTCCGCTTTTCCAGCACAGCCACTGGGTTCGCAATCTCAATGTCTTCTGGGTCGCGGTCAGCCAAACCAGCCTGTGGTTTGCCACTTTCCTCAGTGTCTTCTACTGCAAGAAGATCACAACCTTTGAACACCCTGCCTACCTGTGGCTGAAGCAAAGGGCCCATTGCCTGAGCCTCTGGTGCCTTCTGGGGTGCCTCCTGATCAACCTGTTACTTGTAGCTGATGTTGGCTTAAAGCTCCAAAGTCCTTCCCAAGGAAACGTCAGCATTCTGTACCCTTTTGCAAGCTGGCACTATCTGCGCATATTACAGCTCAATGCAGGAAGCTGGTTGCCTTTCACGGTGTTTCTTATATCCTCTTGGATGCTGATTGCCTCTTTGTGTAGACACCACAGGAAGATGAAGGTCTACATGGCTGGCAGGAGGGATGCTCGGGCCCAGGCTCACATCACGGTCCTGAAGTCCTTGGTCTGCTTCCTTCTCCTTCACATAGCTTACGTTGTGGCCGCCCCCTACTCCATCACCTCCAAGTCTTCCCCTGCTGATCTCTTCACTGTCTTCCTCTCGGAGACATTCATGGCTGCCTATCCTTCCCTTCATTCTGTCATATTGATCGTGGGGAATCCCAGGTTGAAGCAGGCTTGTCAGAGAACCCTGCGGAAGATTGCATGGGCCTGGAGGTCCTGGGGCCCATGAGCTGGAGAGAGAGGAGTGGTTCGGGTACTCTTTGGAGACACTTTTTTGATAGCTCTCTGTGAGGGAGCTGAGTTTCACATCTTTAGCAATGTTCCTTCTTTCACACCAAATCAACAAATGGACAATAGGAAATACAGAATAAAAATCAATACTATTTCTCTTTTGGCAATGCAAAGCACATTATTTTAATGTATTATAGAAATCAAGGCTGGGGCTTTATGTTTGGTAAAAAGGGGTGTTGTATTCTGTTTATAT